TGGATTACAATCCGCCATCAAAATTATACATTTAATTATTCTAGCTGCTGTGAGAAAAGGCTATAAACGATCGGCCACCTGCAGGATCCTCACATGGATAGCCTAGTAGCCGGGGAAACTTCTTTATGTTTACAGACGTGACGTAATGACGCAGTGCCATGATCGAATTTCCCGCGAAAACCTACCCGTACCACTCAAATTAGAAAACATTATTATAAGCTAACCGTTGTGAATCGGGCTAAAGTAAGGCAATAGTTTTGAACACTGGCTGGTTATGTACTTACTCAAATATTGATTTTGGATCATTTTTAACCAAAAAAAAGTTACGGACTGCAGATTTAAGTGAATAAAATGGCAATAATCCGCAATATGCATTCACACATATTTCAGTATGTGTTGACACTAATGACTTTATTTGAATGTTTCATTGATACAACATGGCACTGAGTATGCATAGTGACATCATTGCTTGATGACGTCAGGAACCGATGAATTGGCTTTTTGGTCCGGTTCAATGAGCCGAACTGTCAGAAAAGAACCGGTTCGCGGAAATGAATCGGACTTTGCATCAATACTGCCAGTGTTGCCAATTTAGCTACTTTGTAGCTAGATTTAGCGACTTCCTCGCCCCTTTTGAGACTTTTTTCAAAAGTTTAGGGACGAATATCGCAACTTCTTGGACAAACCTTATCTAAGTTCTCATCTTGCCCACTGATCTACGTTCATCTTTATATAGATCAGTGAATTTGCCATTGTGATGTCATTTAGTGACATTTAGCTACCAGTTTTAGCTACTTTCAATTGAAAGCAGTTGGCAACACTGACTACTGCGCGGGGACACGAAGGTGCAGAGGGATAATCCCCAATCGTAGTCAAAACAGGCATGAGGTCAAACACAATAAGCAGTCCAAACAATGACAGAGTTCAGGGCTGAGGCAAACACAGTAATCCAGACAGAATATCAAGAACCAGGACAATAAGACCTGAGAGAACCAAGATAAAGGCTTAGAACTGCAGCTGTGATACACACAAAACTTCACAAAGAGTGACTGAAAACAGCAGGCTTATATACTGTAGGCAGAGGTAATGAGCAACCGGTGAAAACAATCAGGCATGATGAGTCCTGGCAATGGGTTATGGGAAATGCAATCCAGGATACAGTGACGAAGGTATGGGATGGAGTGCCCTCTGGTGGCTATCAAGGGCACTCCAGCTGGTGATCGTTACAGTTATTACAAATCAGATACTTCTTAGTCAACACATAAAACAAGTGTACATATTTAAAGCATGACAAAATTTTATTAAAATGTGCACATTGTAATAAAAAAGTACCTTCTGTGCAGTAAGTGTTAAGAAACATACCCATGAAAATATACTCCGTTTAAGTACGCTTAAGTGCCTTTTTATTTGATAAATATTATATTATCTGCAAGTACAGTTTTGAAGTAGACTATACATGCACAATATAATTCAAGTGTGGTTCCAATTAAATGTGACCCTTGACCACAAAACCAGTCTTAAGTCGCTTGGGTATTTTTTTTGCAATAGCCAAAAAAACATTGTATGGGTCAACATTATCAATTTTTCTTTCATGCCAAACATCATTAGGATATTAAAGATCATGTTCCATGAAGATATTTTGTACATTTCCTACCGTAAATATATCAAAACTTAATTTTTGATTAGTAATATGCATTGCTAAGAACTTCATTTGGACAACTTTAAAGGCGATTTTCTCAATATTTAGATTTTTTTGCACCCTCAGATTCCAGATTTTCAAATAGTTGTATCTCGGCCAAATATTGTCCTCCTATCCTAACAAACCATACATCAATGGAAAGCTTATTTATTCAGCTTTCAGATGATGCATAAATCTCAAATTTTCTAAATGACTTATGAACTTCATAAAACTTATGACTGGTTTTGTGGTCCAGGGTTACAAATGCGAGTTATACTCATTTTTACCAACTAGAGGAATATTCCTCCTAAATCTCTCTCCGATTCCTCCTCAGTTCGTTCCTTTCCGAGACTACATCGATCGCAGAGGGAATCACATCCTCAGCATGGCCCGTCTGGCCAAAGACGTTCTTGCAGAAATCCCCGATCAGTTCCTCCAGTACATGAGGAGCAGAGGCATCAAACCTCAGCACTCGTCCCACTCCACCTCCTCCAAACCCCCGTCCACACTCGTCCACCCGCTGCAGACACAGATCTGAGCCATCGCACAAACCAGACGTCCTCTCTTTGGTTCACCTTCACTCTCAGGATCACACAAGGCCTGTCTGAGTGAAACGCTGCCCTTCTGCATGCTCTTTCAGTATGAAGGGTGATGTTAGGCGCGCTGAGGTTTCAGAAGGTGTTTCAGACTGTTTTAAAGTATCGAGTGGCCTCTTCAGTCAGTCAAACATCAGATATGACTTCACAGTCTCTGTCTCACATACCACCATCTCCTGTTCTCATGTCTGACAAACTTCTGCATACGTTTACAATTGTACCGTTTTTTACAAATAGATTTTTTTTGTACCTCATGAAAACTCTGAGCTGCTTAACAATGAAATGTACTCATTTTATTACATGATGTTGGAAACAGAGCGAGTGTGATTTTAGAATAAGCATGAATCCACCCTCAGTACAAACGTTAGGGAAACTTTCATGCGGTTGTGCGAGGCCTTGGTTTTCATTTTATTGTAGTGTTCGCTTTAAAATATTTTACTATTTCAGTATTCCATATTCTTGGTCATTTGACTGCCTCAAACTGTACAGAATTTGTGCTTAGCTTTCGCGGCACTAGCACAGCACAGAAATTTAACAGGAAAGCCTTACTCTCCGTTAAAGGAACAGTTCACCCAAAATGAAAAAATCTCTCATTATTTAGTCATCCTCAAACATGTATGATTATTACTAGCATTATTGCACGTTTTGACAGTGATCTTAAAGTCTAAATTTAATTAAATGTTGTATTACACAAATGTCAGTAATTGAGAAATTCCGCAAACTGTAGTTTATGATTATGAAAAGAGAAACATACATTTAACAGACTTGTATAAAATAAAAATAAGCATTAGAGAATATTCAAAATAGCCATAACCATTAGGGAGCGTTATGTATAAATTCTCATTAGTTGTCAAAAAAAAGAAAAAGTTATAGAACATTTTGTGTAAGATTGTCACAAAAACTTCTCTGAATGTTCTTGAAATACAGAGTTCTGGCATGAACCTCTAGATGGCGCAGTCCGATAGGTCTAGCTCAATCTGACTTGGTGATATCATTGTCACATGGCAGCTGATTGGTTCTCTCCTGTATCAGTAACCAATGAGCTCGCTGCTCAATATTCAAATACCTGGCTTTTGTTTGCTGTAGCAGTTGGCAGCGCACTTCAGAAACCCTCC